ATTTGAAAGGTATGGCAAAATGATGGCAGATTTGTTTTAGTATTGCCACGTTGAATTTACACAACTTGTTTTCTCGTACGCACTCGCAAAGATTAAAGGCGTCGTATGATATTGGATGCTGTGGTTTGATTTCATTAGCAATCTCTGCTATTAGTGCTTGTCGTTCACATTCTTCGTCTTCTTGCAGGAGTTCTTTACACTCAAGGTCAATTTCTGTTGTAGAAGATCCTTGTTTTCTTCTCCTAGTTAGTCGAGGCGACTACAGAAACCTTGTATTTGTGTTTTTGTTAACCATCCCTCTCTTGTAAACAAACGATTATTTTGTTCATCTCTCGCATTCCGCATATCAGTAGAAACCTTTTGAGGGTCTGCTTTATGTCCTGTCTGCTCACCAATATCAAACCTTGCAGTTAAGTAGCTTCTGACATTATCCGAAAATCTCGAAGATTCACTTCGTGGTTTGGGTAGGGCCCAGCCCATCTGAACAGCATAGTTTGGTGACGATGACTTATTGTCATTTGTAACGTTAATAGTAGCGCATACTTCGTCTTCAGAAATGTTGACTGCTGTGGTGAACCTTTCAACCCAGTCCCTCCTTAGTTTATCATATAGTGTTTCCTTTCTTTTTTCCTTTAAAGAATGGTCCCCGTAAAAAGAAGAACGGGTCAGCAAAGAAGACATTTCTCAACATAATACATCATTAGTTAAAAGTAGCTCGAACAAATATGACAAGGCTTCACAAGGCTTAGCTTGCTACGTAATACCATTCAGTCTGGTTTTAATTAAAAGAAATCTACAAGTTTTAGTACAAATAAACAATGCTAGCAAATCATCGAAGAAAAGAGAGAAAATTCGCAAAGACATATCCTGGTAAAAAAAGTATTTCTGTTTTGATTGGAAATATAGAGTATATAATATAGGTTCACAAGTGGAAAAAACTTCACGCTTTCATGTTGTTTGATGCAAATTTGTGAACCTAATTTGCATATCGTACCAATAAAAAATAAATATCGTTTTAAAAAACGTTTTTAAAATGTTTAAAAAGACTCAACATGCTTACTTAAAGGCAAAACTGGTATTTAATGACTTGTTTGATATACTCAGTTAGTTTTG